CAGTTGAATAATATTAAGATGTACAGAACATTGTAACACTTCAGTATGAGATCTGTCCAGAGCCTAGTTATATCAGCAAGCATGAAACAGATTGTGCCACTAATTGCTGTCAAGATGTGATGCTGAATTCCCCTCAGGTTTTGGGAAGGCAGTAGCCTTCTTCATGGATTCATATTGAGATACAGTCAGGCAGTGCGCACTCGGCAAGAAATCATAATAAAGGAGAAAAAAAACTCATTTGCATTTATTTCAGGTTCTTATTTGACTTGGAGCTGGGATCAAAATTCAGGATGCAATTTATTTTCATGGACAGTAAACTGTGGAAGTGCTGCAAATGAAATGTATTTGTTTGATCTGAAACTGGTGTTTCTTTGTGTTTCAAAATGCTCTACAGCCACACGGAGAGGAAATAGGAAACAGGAGATGCGAGATCTCACTGAGTGTTCTTGTCCAAATAAAGACGCCGGCAGCAATATTGCCATTGAAATGACCTCGCTTTGGCACGAAAAACACCCAGCTTGATTCCTATGCAGAATTTCTGACAGGACAGCGAGCATCACGTCTGAGGAGTCAGTGGGAAAAAGTGAGAGAAGTAAGAAGGCAAAAGGATTAATAGGGCTGTCTGAAGAAAAAGGGAGGACTTCTGAGGAAGGTCACAGCCCTGAAATCAAGAGAATACCTTTAATATTCCTAATCCTGGTGGTGTGGCAGTGGGGAGGAGAGGCGAGATGGGGAGACAAGTGCATGAGATATGATGAGATTAGGGCTGAGGAGGGATGGTGTTCGCTCTGTGTTGTAGCGTCCTGATGACGCCCAGTTTGTGCTCCAGTGGGGAACATGGGGGCATAAGCAGGAGGGGCTACCACCACTTTGCAAAGGACAAAAGGAGGGAGCAAGAGTATGTCTGTACTTATATTTATGTGTGTGTGTATGTAGCCTCTGCCTGCCACGCTTTCTATAGTACCACCCACGGTGACTAGTGCCCCCCCCTTCATCACTGCAGTCAATGTCATAGCTGCCAATCCAAACAGCTGCCGGCCAGTGAGAATCCAGTCTCTCCCAATGTGAACCAGTCAGGTCAAAGCAATGGCAAAGCAAGCTGTGTCCCTATGAGATGCATAGTTAACCAACGGTCCTGTTAATATGTCACTGGACTCTGGTCTACACCGAATGACAACCACTGAGTTTGACTTGTTTGATTTAGCAAGTTGATGCAAGCGGACAACTGGATTTACCTCCTGAAGGAGAATGACTTCAATCAATTATTTCTTATTGTATGCGTGTGTGTGAACATGTTTAGACATCTTTGTGAGGACAGAAAATTGGCATGCTACTATACTTGTGGGGACCAGCAGTCACTTATGGGGACAAAATGCCTGTCCCTAGGAGTTTTTGAGGCTCAAAATGTGGTTTTAGTGTTAGGGTTACAATTAGGTTATGGTTAGGCTTAGGCTGAGGGTTGGGCATTCATTTTTGATGGTTAGGGTTAGGGTAAGCAGCTAGATTATGTCAATGAGATGTCCTCACTAAGATATGAAATTGTGTGTTTCTTTTAAATACTGGGGTTGGAAAAAAGAAATTCATTTTATTAATGAATAAACTTGATATATTTCTGTCATGTTCTTGCTTTTACTACTTTATTATATATATATATATATATATAATATATATATATATATATATATAATATATATATATATTATATATATATATATATACTAATATATATATATATATGTATATATAATTTAACCGTGATCTATGTTGTGGATATCTCCCAGAAATTGAACTTTTCAGTCACCCATTTCAGAAATATGCAAATATTATGCACTTGGTTGATGTTCGGATATCTTTTAATGATCCTAAAGTTGGAAAAAATATCTCACTGTCCAGCTGCCACCAAAAAAACCTCCTTGAGATTGGTTTGGTTGATAGCAGTTTAACGGTTGCCATTGTTTTGATGGAAGATGCTGTCTTGCTGCAAACACTCATCAAGCAGTAGTGAAACTTGTAAAAGTGTGATCCAAAACGAAATGGAGAGCATTTGCCTTCACCTTTTGATAGCAAGCATCCTCCTGCAACCACTTGCAAACTGGTCAGGGAACACAATTTTTTCGTAGTTACCAGTGGTTACCAGTGTCACCAGTCTCCAGACCTATGTGACTGAGGCTTCAGCAGCTGATTTCTCAGCAACCTTTTGCAACCACTCACAACTCACTGGGGTGATACTCATTTTCCCCTAACGATGGGTGGTTGCCAGGATGTCACTAACTTGTCTAGGCCTGGGTGACTGGCTCTGTAAGCAGGTTTTTAGCCCATTAGCAGGTTCTGCATATACTTGTAGAACTGGAGTTGTGTCCTGTGACTTTGTTGACCCATTTCTTTATGGTCAATGTTCCCACACAGACACTACCACCCACTAGCAACGTGATCATCTTAGGAGCTTTATCAAAAATGAAAAATGTTGTGCTATGTCAAAATTTGGGATTATTATCTAAAGATAACTAAGAATTTTGAAATAATATCATAGAATTTAGAGCTACAGATGGAGGAAAATATAAATAAAATAAATTCAGTGGTGGAAACAATCTTCCATGACATGACCTACTGTACTGCCACACAAAAGACAACTCAACAAAAAAAGACATCTGTCTTGGTGTCACCAGAAGTTTAGTCTCAGCTGAGTCGCTTGGATAGAAATCGTATGGCTCTGGCACTGTCACTACAGCTGATGAGTGAGGAATCAATCACTGACTTTAATACAACCAGGACTATTTTCTGCTTTTCGTTGCTGTAGCTGCTTAACAACATCTTTTTTTCCTCCGGGTTTTATGACTGAAAAATCCACATTCGGGGAGATTTATTGACTAATGTGGGTGCTGTTAGATCAGCTGTCAGAGCTGCGATAACACTGTTGTTGCATTGTAAGAATCATTGTGAGTTATTGGTACTTTAATCACCTTTATTTATTTGTAAAAGGCTTTGTAAAATCTTCAAACCCTGTGTTTGCCCGGGTAAATAATAAGACTTCTGTTAAATGCGTTGCAGGGAGGGAAACTGAATCTAGTTTTAGTGACTCATAGTAGGTCAGGGGGATGTTGACATATAAAACTAAAGGCACTGTCCTTGTTTTCAGCTGGTGTGGTTCAGGTTCAATAATGCCTCCGAAGGATCAAGAGAAAAAGACAGAAATAAGGAAAGGCTCCCGCTGAGGCGCACGCTGGCAACACAGCAGGTGAGCCGTCATAAGAATCTTTCTTTAGAGTTGTGTATTCACAACTTTTAAGGTCTACAAACGTGAAAGGATCCACTCTATTACTATTTCAAAAAATCCCAGAAACAACAAATATTGAGAAACTAACAGCTTTGTTCAGGGTTTATAGTTATTGTATGTTTATAGAGCTATATATTATGCCTCACACTGCAGATTTGGTGCCTTCAATCTGTTTGCTAGTAGACACTACACAGTGGCAATGAAGCGCTACACTCAGCCACACATACCCAAAACAAAAAAGGAATCCAAACACTCGCAGATGATGGCCAAAAACAACACCGCACACCTTAAGTCTTTTTATAATAGAAGAAAGCTTCGACACTAAAATCTTCAGTGTGAATAACTGAAATCGCTATTGACATTGTGACTTCTCTTTCGCTGATTACTGTACAAGTCTGGTGAGGACAGAATTGAAACTGAAAAAGGTACAGGCTAAGGAAGATATTGCCCTCTCACAAGATCAATATATCGGCCCCTCAGACATTTGGGAAGGGAAAACACACTGATTTCAGATCTGTGCTGAGGGGCGAATCTGTCCTTGTCTGTCTGTACGAGATGGGTAAGGCCTCAACCCTGGTGTCATGCATTGTCACAGCGCAGAACTGATGTGGCAGACAAACAAACGAAAAAAAATAATAATCAGGTTTACTTTTTTTTCACGAAAGCAGTACTTTTATAGAAACAATTTCAGGATTTTAAACAAGCACATGTTTTGACACATACTTAAAATGGGGAAAAGCAGAAGAAGTACTTAATGGTTCTGAAAGGAAGCTGAAAAAGTAGAATGTCACCTTAAGAAGATGATTGAGTCTCTTTGTGCTTTTGTAAGAAGTCAGCCGATCCACTAGGGGGGCCCATCTTTGGGGAGTTTAAAGACAGAGATAGAAAGAGAGGGTGCCACTGCTTCCTGTTGGTCTTTGGCTGATGCTCGACTGGATCAGCAACAGGAGGGATACTCCTCACATTGGGTCTGATCCAGTCTAGCACCAACCTTCGTTTGGACACTTAGGAAGCAAAATAAAAACACAAAAAACTTATTAAGTGGCACCTTTGTCAACTGATACCAGGCAACAAACTATAAACAGGAAAATCGCAATCTGATCACACTTATAAACAAAGACTTCTTATATTGAAAGTTTTTTCAGAATTCATATTTCACTGCATCATCGCCGTCGTCATCGTCACTATTCTAGCACAACAGCGTGACACTATTATAAATCATTACAGGCATTCACTCTCATCACGGAGTGCAGCACAGAAAAGCTTCTTAATATATTACTCTGTGTCTCCTCCATTATAAATAGCTCTTGATCAGGACTAAATCTTGTCTGGGGAGGTAGGATACCACCGTCCTGTACTGTAACACAACCTGATGGAACCGATTTTGGTCCGATGTGAAGATGAGTACTGTTTGTTTTACAGTAGTGGGCTCAGATTTTAGGCTGTGCTTTCCTGAAAAGTCTCTCTATGTCTTGGTCAGCGGCTTTCAAACCAACTCAAATGCAAGTGTGAATGTAAGGCATGGATGTATTAAAAGAGCTGGGGCCTCATTTATACATTTTTATTATGTTCAAAGATTGGTTAATTACTTGTGTTTAATTATGTGACGACCATTGTTTATAAATCTCAAACCAACCTAAATTGACGGCACCTGTAATTTCAGCAGAATTGTGCGTTTAAACAGAAATAACCGAGGACCAAAACAGAAAAGAAAACTTTTTTGAGGACAAGCTCTCTTAAGTAGATTAAGAGAAAATAAAAGAGAATCCAAATTTGCCAGTGAATCTGATTCTGATTAGCAGGAAAATCATGGACAGTTCAGACTTACAAATTAAGATTTTACGAATGTAACTTCATGTTATAAATGAGGCTTTTGGATGCAGCGATGCCATTCAGCACGTCCTTCCAATTTTTCTAGTGGTCAAATTCAGTATTGCAGGCAAAAATACCCACACCTCAAAAAACGTTTTTCCCCCCCACTTCTTGAAGAATACAAAAGAGTCATCTGTAGAACTACTAATGTTTCTACCTCTGATAGGTTGGCCCGTAATCGTTCTGTTATGAATTTATCTGTAGGCGTTGACATCCAGTATCCAGCTCCTCTTAATACATCCACTATGTGAGGACACAGTTTTCTTACCAGAAAATTGGATCATGCTTGACTTCAACTACTAAAACCCCACCCCTGAACAGCAAACATCCAGTCATGGTTTATTAACTATCTTTAGGCGTGCCAAGTTTTGGATTTTTCTACACGCTGAACCCGTGTGCATGGTGCAGCAGTAGAAATGACACACAGCATTTAAGGAGTCTTATCTTCTAAACTTTTTCCAATCCTAAAAGTAAAGAATGAAGAAATGAGGTGAGATGCAAAAATGCTCACTAGCTTACATACTGCATAGTGCACTGGTAACACAAAAGGATTGGATAGTTGACAGTTGTGTGATAGTTGTGTTTGTCGTAAGCAATCCGCCGCTTTAAAAATGACTAGAAATTTAGAGCATGTGTACTCTGCAGAACTGGAAAGCTTGACCACTATAACAGTAACAAATGGGACAGGGCGAACATGCGTGACCCGGAACGCTCCCTTTGAAATAATGTTATCTCATTTGATGAACATTTCTGAGGGTTCCAGAGGAAAATGTGTTGAATCTGTGGCAGAACGAATAGAATGGTAACGATATGGGTGATTTTGGTCAGTCAAAGTTAGGATGATTGGATTGTCTTTACTTCACTGTAGCATGGCATAGAAAATTGATTGATTAATGTGCGGTCATAAAAATAGCCTACTGTTTGAAAAAGTTGATTTTTCTCTGATCAGCTTAAATAATTTCATCAAAAATATTCCCAACTGGAAAACCCAGAAGGTCACAATACAGATAGTTTTAATGCTACACACAGTCCGCTGACTTTTGGTTTATGACTGGTTAAAAACTAGATAGGAATACGAAGGCTTGATAGTGTGGGAGGGTCCAAATTTCCAAAATCTACTTGTTTACATAATCGGTTATTGACCTTGACATACCTGTGTCCTCACAGTATTGTATACCCAAACAGTATTGTGCTGCAGCTCAGGAGTGTATTCGTTGGTTTAAGTGTCACTCAAAGAAAATGCAAACTTCACCGATGTCAAAGATTTGAATTCTTCTCCTCTTTGCAGTCCAAGCGTAGGCGAGTTTGTACTGAGCGGTTCCGATGCTATCCATCCCTCCCTCATCTCCTTCTCCTCCTCACCCTGCGACTTCCTGTGTCTACACGAGGGTGTCAGTGGCGGTCGTAGGTGGAGGCTGTAGCGGTGGCAGCAGGGCCTGCCCCTCGTGATGTTGCACTGTAATAATATGGCGATCCTGGAGGGGGGGAAAAGCAAACACACAACTTTTTTAAGTCACTTAACTGAAAAAAATATGAAAACGTGATGTGAATCCAGGTTCTTTAACCTTGGGCTTTTTTTCTTGTCTACATAATTACATTATTATTAAAACCTGTAATTTCTGCCATGTAAGAGCTGAAAGCAGAGAAAATACATTTTTTTAAAGTGGTGTGTGCTGAGCAATTTACAGGCAGAAACAGAACAGCGATGGGATTTATCTAAGAGCTGTGTTTGATGGAGTCCAATAAAAGGTTTTTTTTAACCTCTACTATTAAGGCCTAACTAACCATCAAGCATGATCGCTTCATGGTTAGTTATCAAGTGTTTGTATTTCAAATTCAAGCTACAGTTGACCACAGTGATCTGCTAGTGACCTGCTAGTGGTGCCACGCCCTCTTTGCAACCGATTTATCCTAGCAACTGTCAGAAATTACTCGCTAACTGCTTAGAGGTTACCAGGCGGTCACTTATTCCACTGTGATAACAGGCTAAATGTATAATAAAAGAAGTTTATTAAATGTGTAATGAAAGACGTTTTGTGATATTTAAGGATTTTTAGTATTTAAAGTTTTTGAATCATTTCACACAAAAAACGAATATTGAAGAAGCTGCTTTCATTTGATCCCTTCAATATATCTGACAAATCCTGATTAGCAGCTGTAAACCAGGTAAAACTGAAAGTGAACTAAGCAAGAACGTAGGCAATTATTCCTCTGTGGGCAGGAAAAGTACTTTCTCTTTCAAATAAGTTTGACTAATCTGGAGATTTGTTAATACGATTGTCTTGTTCTTTTGCTCATTTCGCTTCCCCGTGGACTTCTGTCGCAATGTCATCACACTGACAGATCGCAGCAATTAACTTGGTCAGAATAATTTTTTTTTATTACAGCTAGAACTGATGTTTAAAATGACAAAAAACAGCAAGACGGCTGTAATAAATCTGAATTCTCCCTGAACAATTTACAGCCTACTTAAATATGGTGTAAATGTGAAACGAGCAGCTTCAATTTTCTGTTCAGATTATATTTTACTTTGAATGTGAGCAGTGAAAGGCAGGGATGAGATGACATGAGCTGATGGAGCTAATGACAGAAAAAATAGTCTCTCTTTCATGTACAACCAATAAAATTAACTCCCTGACTCTCTCTCTCTCTCTCTCTCTCTCTCTCTCTCTCTCACACACACACACACACACACACACACACACACAATCGTAGTGACAGTCTAAGCTGACACACTGAGTACAGCTCTACTACTGCTGATCCCCTGAGTCTATTCTCTCCCCAAGGGAGAGGTCAATTCAATACTGTAACCCCAAAGACACGCAGAAACCCACACTTACACACCTTAATACACACAGAAAAAAGCAGTCACCTGCACACACACATCCACACCTGTCTCCGTTCCTTCCATCAATCAGCCTAGCTGTGTGTTGACAGGTTATGTCTGTCCACAGTCCAGGTAATCTCAGGAGCCTCTTTGGGGAAGTGAGGCATTAAGCCGACCTGACAAACTATTTAGTCTCACTCAAGGTTTCAGACGCCCTCTTCTCCCCTTTTGCCTCTTCTTGAAAAACTCCCCTTTCTTTCATGTCTCACCATTTTCCTCATCCGTTCCTTATCCTTTTTTTTTGTATCCAAGGCTCTCCCTTCCCCTGCCTTCAATCTTAAGCCTTTCAATGTCTCCTAATGTGCATCTTGTCCTCATATTATGTGTCCACTCATCCGTTATCATAAACTTCCGTTACAGTCTCTCTGCATTTTTTCCCTTTTTGCATGCTCTACTGTCAGCTTTCCTCATCGTGGCATCCCCCCGTGCATATACAGCACCTGCGTGCTCACAAACACAATGCACTTATTTCTCTTGTACTCTCTTCATCTGCTTCTTTTGTCTTTCTCCACCTACCTTGCATCTGTCCTGCCTGGCTGGTGAAGAGACTGGAGGAGCAGCCGATTTCCGTCCCCAGGAGAGACCCATAATCCTGCTGAAACACTGGGGACAGAGGGATGGAGGGAAGGAGGCAAAAGGAGAGGTGAGGAGAGGAAAGGGTGGGGGTAAGCTAAAGGTCATCACAGCGTGACCTCTCTCACCTATTGACCTTTTAAACCATCACCTTCTGACTGTTTCACCTTTAATCATGACCCCTGAAATGGCTGCTTAGACAATGACTTTGACACCGACTGTTTTAGCTCAGGGTTAATGCCTCCTCTTAAACACTAATGCGGAGATGTAAAGACAGTGTTGGGATGTCTTTCAGAAACACACATCAATGGTTTTGGAAGTTAAAGAAAATGGATGCTGCCAAGATATCTAAAAACATTTGGGGGGGGGGGGGGGGAGGTAATGCTTGCTGCTTATTGGAGTCCCTCAGATCAACACTGGTGACTCTTTGGGACTAAATAAGCTGTAACTGTTTGTTACTCTGCACCTTTGTTGCTTGGGCAAGCAAACAGCTAAGATTCTAATATATTATATTACTAACATCATTTCTTTAGATTAATTTTTAATCTAAAGGTGACTGAAACTTAAAACAATAGGTGGTCAGAGTCACTTTCCTCCATGACACCTATATATATTTTAAAAAAAACAGTTAATTCAGTTCATTCCTCTCTTGCTATATCTGTTCTTCAGATCCATTCACGCCAAAATTGCCTGTCATTAAAAACAAAAAACCCTCTGCAGACTGTCTGCTACATTACTACAAAGAATGAAATGTAATGCCATGAAAAAGATAAATAGAACAGTATTAGAGAGGGTGGAGGTGGGATGTAAGGTGGAATGTGATGAAACTCCACAGAATACGCTACAATAAACAATATGGGATACACCAACCTAATAGGCTGGGGTTAGGAAATCTCCATGATTCATTGTACGTTGAATACTGCGGATGGGAATATGGACTTCCGGAAAAATCTCCCCCTGTACGAGAACAGAAAACAGAGACACAAGACATGGTTAAAAACATTAAAGGACAGGGAGGACAATCCCGTCTTGGTTTGGTTTAGGTGAGGACTAGCATAGTTTTAGATAGTATTCAGGATATTATTCTTATCTCGTTTGGCAGGAACACATGCTTGTGGAAATACTTTGCTCTCTGAAGCTTTAACCGGCTTCTTGTGTTCAACAGAATAGTTTGCAGACTAGGTGATAGGGACAGAACAGGAGAGCTCGGTGCGAATGTAGTGGTCCTGCCATACAGTGGATGATAGTGTAGCTTTTCTCCCTCATTTAATACTTACTGTCTGGGGTCTACTCTTCCTTTTGCCTTCCCCTCCTGCTTTTCCCATCACCCCTTCCTCTTTATTTTTCTCTCTCGTCCTCTGGCCCGCCTGACTGCAGCCCGCCCGTCACCCTTCACATCAAAACAACATTCTCCTCCATTTCTTCTCCTCTTTTTTTCCTCCACATATCTCTGTTGACTTGCTCTCTTTTTTCACTCTTTTGCTCTTTCTTTTCTCCTGAACCTTCACTCCTCCCAGGGGATCCCTCTCCCATAGCTGACAGTCACAGACCCTGATGCCCCCTCCCTCCAACCACCACCCGTTCCTCCTCTCTCCTTCTCGTTCTGTCGGTTCTGCCTCACTGCTCTCCAACACCCCCTCTGAGTGTCAGCCCCCCTGCTGCAGAGAGAAAGACAGAGAGACAGAGAGGGAGAAGGCGAACAGCAGAAGAGAGTTGCTTGCTTAATGAAGGTATGATATTAGACAGAGCGAACAAAAAGGAGGATAATTTGCCTGAGAAGTGCTGAGATAAAACGTGCCGGAGCTGGAGAAGCAAAGTTTGTAGATTATCTCCTCGACTCATTCCAGTCAGCTCATGGATTCGTGCAGCTTTAAAAATGCACTGAGAAAAATTCAAATGCCTGCACTGTTTGTGTGTGTGTGTGTATATATATACACATATACACAAAACAAGTTTTCTTTGTGCTAGTGTGTGCATCTATGTGTGCGTTTAGCTGCGTCTGTCAGGTGGGGTCGGGATGTTGTCTCCATGGCATCCCTGGGTGCGAACATCCTCTCCCTTGTCATCACCGTAGTGACGGCAATGTGTCAGGTTGTTTAGGAGACGAGGAGCGGAGGGGAGAGAGGAGGGGAAAGAAGGCTCAGGGGTCTCCCTGGTGTAGCTCAGTGTCAAGGTCGCACGCACACACAAACACACATACACACAAACAATCACAGCACACGCATAAACATCCAGCAAACCAAAAACACGCACACACACAAATATGCTGTCAAACCTGAGGACAGGACGGGGTGAGCGCAGGGGGACAGGGTGACAGGGTTACCCATCTTTAGACGTGCTGTTCCTACATGTCCACTGAGAGTGTGTGTTTCTGCGTGTCAGCCTATATGTGTGTGTGTTTGTCACAGACTGAATGATTGGGAATACAACTTGTAAACAGCATTGTTTTTTGACTTTGCTTCCCTCCCGTTTGTGTCTCTCCCTTTATTTTTCTGCAGTGTATTTCACACTGACCACAACCACCACTGCAAGTCTGAGAGAGAGCGAGCGAGAGAACAAGAATAGTGGCTTAGGATTGAAACACAAAAGCATCGTAGAAGGCGGAGTGGAAGGGAATGAATGAATTAGTCGTGGGTCACTGGTGATTCTCATTAAAAACAAATTACTAATGTTGAGGAGGGACAGCTGTGCTACTGTGGCTGGTTTCTAATGATACACACACACGCACAGACACACACGCTAAAGAGAAGCGCAAACACACAAATATATGCACACAAACAGACACACGCACTACCCCCTGGGAGCACTGTCACCCACAGTGTAGACAGACAAGAAAGAGGAAGTGGTGAAGCTAAGTACAGCCTCTGAAAACACACACGCTCTGACAAACATCCAGCAGGAACTTAGAGGATATGTACGTAGAGATGGGTTGACATCATGTGTAGCGAGAGATGACACAGTTACTGTAAGGGAAAGCTATGTACATTAAAAGTAAAACAGCTTTAGCAAGTGTGCATTTGCCATTACTCATTTTGTGGTGACAAGTCTCCACTGTGGGAAGAAAAAGTAAGTAAGTTGTAAATATATTCATTTCAGTATGACCTGCTTTTAGGTTAGGTTTGAGGCAGTGGTGCATACTTGCGTGCTTAGAGAAGGAAAGTCTCCACACATCAGTGTAAGGTGATGGAAACATGACTGTGTGTGTGTGTGTGTGTGTGTGTGTGTGTGTGTGTGTGTGTGGTGTGTGTGGTGTGGTGTGTGTGTGTGTGTGTGTGTGTGTGTGTGTGTCTACTCACCAGGTACCATTCCAGTGAGGGAGGGGATGGAGTAGCTGCCCTGTCCGGTAGGAGGGACATGAGGAGGGTAGCCTGGCAGAGTGGTGCTGGCTAGATCTCGACCTGTAATCAAACACACATTTGTTGTCATCAGTGTCTTCCTACTATAAGTGCTATTACACTGCCCTGTGTCAAAAAATATCATTTCTACTGTTTTCCAGAAAATAATTAATATTACATAATTCACTGATGCTGAGTTGAAAATGGCAATAAAATTATCATCACATTTAATTTTGTCACAAAATGTGAAACCATTTTTTGCATAGGGTCCATTTTTACTCATTAAAATTCAGCTTCTTTAACACAATTCACATATTTTTATAGGTTTCTTTTAACTGGACAGAATAAACAATTGACATGGATGCAAAGTTACTGCTTTTGTGCAGTAGGACAAAAGGCTGGCTCTGGAGCAACCTGGATCGTGCTCACAACCCACTGCACCCAAAAGATCTTCAGCATCACCAGAATAAACGAAGTCATCATCCATTAGAAAGAATGGAATAAGATCCTTCTCACAATGCCTATAAGAGGAAAGTCCGGTTCCTGGACTCAAGCATCTCATCTGCTTCCTTTGTCAGATCCGAATCTGGTACTAAGTCATTTAACTCTGGGACTAAGTGAATAACCGGGGAACATATATTGTAGTTATATATATAGTTATATATATATATATATTAGTATATATATATATGTATGTAGTATATATATATATATATATATAGTATATTATGAGTATGGTGCCTGCTTGTAATAAAGTAATGGGCTCAACGTAAAAAAAATAATAATTTAGATTTAAAGGAAAATTGATTAAAACCAAACTGCAAAATCTTTCTCACAGTGATGAGTGATTTCAATTAATATCACTTAATGAAAAAGGTAAGCAGTGTTTTTATTTTACTAAATCCTGCAGGAGCAGGGCATCCTTTTTTCCTTTTGTTTCCTCCAGTCTTGTTTTCCATCTCCTGGCATCTATTAATTTACCAACTTCCCCCGTCTCTCGTTACCTGAATCTCCCCCTCCTTGCTTTGTCTGTCACTTGGTGGATAGGATATATAACTGCATTAGACTACATGACAGTGTGTCGACCCAAATCATTTCTCTATGTTTGCGCGCAGTAGACACTGGAAGTGCGTGGAGAGGGTGCCCTCCATTCATCATCATCATATACACACACTCAACCACACACACATGCATCAACACCCTCCTCCTGCCCCCTGCACACACACATTTATCATCATCATAAACAGCTCGGATGCTAACACCATCAATCCCATTCCCTTCCCTTCCACTTAACCACCACTAACTAAGTGAGGAGGAGGAAGAGGAGGAGGAGGAGGAAAGGGGAACAAGGTGGGAGAGGAAAATACAGAATATAAAAAACAAGAACAGAAATAGCAAAAAGCAAAAAAGAGCAAACAGGTACGAGAATAAGAGAGGAGGGATATGTGCTAGAAGGTCAACAGCCGTAGTAGATAAATATTTGTTTTCATGAGATAGTGAGTGAAATGGTTTGGACATATGACTGGGAGGGTTAGTGGATATATTAGAAAAAGGATGTTGAAAAAGGAGCTGCCAGGCAGAAGGAAAAGAGGAAGATGAGGCAAGGTGGTTGACATACAGAGGGTTGGTGTGGCACAGGTGGAAGCTAGGGACAGGGTGAGATGGGGACAGATGAATGGCTGTGGTGACACCTAAAGAAGAAATTGTTGAGTAAAAACAATATCACAGTATTAGTTTTCTCCATCTCCCGTATAAGTAACCATCCTGCACTCAAAAGGATTTTAAAGAAAGTATTAAAAGCTTAATTCAGTCATCCAGTATGGCAACCTGGATTTATAATGTCACAATCTACTATTTTATTTATATTTTATTTAGTATTTTATAAACTGCCTGTACATTATATTTGTTTGAAATTTATGGTTCATACATTGAATAAAGACTCAAGAACATAGACTGTACAGTAAAGATGGACATAGGAGATTGGCATGAAAAGTGTAGCCAATGCTGAAATGCTTTAAACTAGCAGTACCGATAATGACCAGCAGAGGGCAACTCCTCAGGTCTGATTGTGTAGAAGTGTGTAGAAGAAAAACATCCCATTGTTCAGTTTATTTATTACTTTTTTAAATGTTTTCCTCACAAGCTTCAATTTTTAACAGTATTTTTCAATACAGCATGATGAAATAAATTATGATCTATTCAGAGTACAATAACCAATAAGCAGGATGTGCTTTAGGGATTTGCTACTCTTGAATTAACAATTCAAAACAATGTAGACCTGCAGTGTGGTTTTTCAATCAGATCTATGCCTTGCTTGTTTATGAGTTACACAAATACACATCTGGTCAGTTTTGTGTGTGTTTTTTTGTTTGTTTAGTAAGTTGTTGTTTATCCTATTTAATATCACACTGAATAACCCCTAACCCTAATCAAACTAGCAACTATTGTGAGCATTAGCTTAATAAAGGATCATTTTAAAAGAGCAATAAAGAATATGAAACTGCAGAACAGCAGTCCACACACAAACAGGCAAAATCTAATGGCTAAGCCAATGTTACGTAAGTGGACAAATCATTAATTGTAAAAGGTCCTGCTCTGGTCAAACAAAATTCAGCCAGTGAAAGCAGCACACTGTTGTTTTAGTTTGAGTATCTTAGAAAAAGCGGAGCAGGAGACTGGCAGATGCATTAGTCTAATGTCTGCAGTGATGCAGAGGCTATAACAGGATGTTGTGGAGAAAAAAGTCGAGCGAAAAGCAAAGCTGTGGGTAGTCAATGAAAACTTGAGGATGGATGGATGGATGGATGGATGGATGGATGGATGGATGGATTTTATTGCAACCCATCAAATATTTGTTGAGCCATTTCACTCAACGCTATTTAAAATATCTAGTTTCATAAATAAAAGGTCTGAGATAAAGGAAGTTGAATGGCTGGCAAACATTGTCATGTCTATGGATAATGTGCCCTCCAATTACATTTCAGCAAGTATACATAGATAAAAAATCCCAACTGTACATGTTCCCATGCTAGGGAAAGTGGACAAATGGAGCAATAAAAGAAAAACAGCATTTATGGTCATTATCAGCAAAAAATGAACATCTTAAATCCTTTCATTTTTCTGTCCTCTTTACTTCCTATTTCCTTCTGCACCTCCCTCTCTACTTGTGTTTCTCCCTCGCATATTGCTTCCCCACTCCAGCCTCTATCTGTCCCTCCCCGCCTCCTCTCTCCTGTCTCGTGTAGTAAAGTTTTTCTCTGTGTTTGACGCGACAGCGAGGCATTAGTGCAGACGGGCTACTCATCCGCTCAGGGTCAGTGCACAGGGCAAGGAGGAGAGGGAGGAGAGGCTGAGAGAGAGGAGAGATGGACTCTCTACAGCCCAACTTAGAGGGGGCAGACAGGGCCAGATCCTCTGAGGTGTGTATGCATGAGTGTGTATGTACACGAAAGTGCACACAGCGTATTTGTGCATATGTTTGCCAGTTGTATTGATGTATCTGTTCTCCACAGCTTTCCTGCAGAGGTCAACGAACAAGTACAAGTCTCCTCCACGCTCACTTGCAGCTACAGATGAACACACATACTGTCTGCCTATCTAACTCTCCCATTTCAGCCAGCCATCAAAGCAACACATGTCAAACCTGGAGGGATCAAGCGGGCACAGTGTGTGTCCCTTTGTGTGTTTTTGTGCTATAGTAGATTGGGTGAAGTTCAGGATAAAATAAAATGCCCTACAGATTTGGAAAGACCTTAGAATTGAGGGATGAGAGTGTGAGCGTTGCTCTACAGCATGTGTCCAGTGTATCACCACTTCAAGGATGCAATAACATTGCGTCAAACACACAGACATCTGATCCCCTTGAGGGAGCTCTATTCTCAGGGAAAAAACAGGCAAGGAAATGTATGCATAATATTCAGAAGGTGTGTGTGTGTGTGTAACAGAATGTGTGTGTTTGCATGCATAAGCAGAAATGGAAATTTTGATCTTGCTCTCTTTTGCTCATGCTCTCCGTGTCTCGCTCTTTCTCTCTTCCAACACGAGCAGGTAATATTCCTCAGTGGTTTCAGGCGGCAAAAACGAGCCCATTCCCAGATATCCCAAATTCCCAGCTCTATGATTCCCCTCATTACAGATGGGAGCGTCAAAGCCTTGTCCAAGTGCTCCCTGGTCTACTCTTAATTAACCACTGCCTCTCCCAGTGCCCCTAAATGGAAAAGGAGGAATAGACGAGGCTCTCACTTTTCATCCATCCTTCCACCTTTCTTTTCCTCCTTCCCTCTGAGTTTCCTTCCTCCTTTGAGATCCAAAGCGTTAAGCTCTTTAAGCCCTGACAATTTTGGAGCTCCTGCCACTGCTGAGGTAGACTTAAAAAGCCTTTACTTTACTCTCTGGGTGTGTGTGTGTGTGTTGTTTAAATACGACTGTCAGAGCTCCAGCTAAAGCTTGACTCTAAAGTATAAAACACCAGAGTTTTGTCTTCTGACTGAAATATTTTATGGAATTTTTATGTGTGAATTATGGGATTGTGCAGCAATAGGTTAGCAGTTTTAATCCTAAAACTAAACAAACCCAAGCAATCTTTTAATTCTCTCTTTAAAAACAACAACAAACATTCACATTTTTTTGTGTAACCAAATAGGAGGGTAGTAATTATAAAAGAATTCAAAATCTCACTCTTCATAGTACACATGCAATACTTTTTTAGTCTCTTTCATACATAAAATATCCACAACAGATCATTCCACATCTAAGACGTTTGCTCCTCTAAAAGGCAAGAGCAACATGAAGAAAAGAAATGTGTACAGAAACTGATTGGAAACGGGTCATTACCAAGTGAAGCTGAGGTTGGAAAAAATAACTGAGTACAAAACTTCATGGAAAATTAACATTTATATGAAAACCCTTTATTTAGTCATTTCAAAATGTCTCTCAGAGGTGAAGTTAAGATTATTAGCTAGGTGTAACTTTTACCTGGAACTAGTGAGTAGGACTGTGGACCAGAGACGCTGGCTCCTAACTCTGCCCCTGTGCCCGGATTGGCCAAACTGTTCTTCATCTCATCCAGTCCTCCTGCTAATGAAGCCATGGCTGAATAATCTGACGTCTGGAAGAAAGGAGGAAGTAAACAAAGGGTAAACTTATTAACAAAAATCGAAAACAACAAGTACATGTTATGAGGCTAGCTTGTTGTTAGATCTAACGCGGATGCAGTGTTTGTTACATCCTGCTACATTTTCAGCATGCTGCACTTTCCTCAGAGCAGAGAGCAAAAGCGCTTTAGAATGAACACAAACTCACAGACACACACAGACTCACACGCACATACAGAAACACACCTACAGCTGAGAGTTTATTGATCTGTTTACAAAGACAGGGATTTACTGTACAACCAAGTCCAACAGTCTATAACCACAGGATCAGCTTGCTCTTTCTCTTCATCCCTCACACACACAGGATACATAGACACGCGTATATATATCCACACATACGCGCTGGCATTACATAGACCACGGCTAACACAAAGCCTCTTGTCTCCCCAGATACCAACAACAATAAGAACTGTGATCATCTCAGCACACCTACCCACGTTCTCCCAGTGGTGTTAACCCAGCATACACACATGCTGCAAAAACTTAAAAAGCACTCAGAGAAGGCTGAAGTGACAAAACAATATGTCACTGTCTGAATGTACAGTTTCTTTAGAAACAAAATAATATTGAAGTTTAAAAAAAGGAAGGCTGAAAAGAAATAAAGAAACATGTGATAATGTGATCCAAACAAAAAAACACTGCAAAAAAACTAAACAAAACCCACAAGCACATGAAAGGAAATTAGCTTAACTAGCAAGACAGACAAAAGAAGAAACCCAGAAAATACAACAGTATGCTCGTACAGTACACAAATGTCAAATAACTCACTGTCCACAACATGGGTTATGATCTTTGGATCATACAGACACAACTTTGAAAGAGGTCTTTAATAACCCAGCCTGGCTGAAAGGCAGTGAGATGGGTGGATAATGGAAACTGTCCGCTAACCTGTGTTTGACCCCAGCACAGAGTCACGACCCATCCATCCTCATTTCTCTACTAGACAAGTGTGTGTGTAATTATGTGTGGTCCAGACATTACTCATCATGCAGGGACTTAAATCACTGTACACAGTGACTTACTGGGGACTTACCTCTTATTGGGACAAAATCCCCGTCATGCAAATGATTACATTTTAAGGTGAATATATGTCTTTTTTGTAGTGTTGGGCAGGTAGGTAAAGGTTAAAGTCATGTATTGACCTCTGAAGTCAGAGATACGCACATTGCCGTGTGTGCAATAATAATAATAATAATAATAATAATAATAATAATAATAATAATAATAATAATAATAATAATAA